TAAAAATAATGTGTGCCTACTGTTGAAAATAAATCCATAAATATCTTAAATCCACATTTTTTCACAGTCATACTCCTTGTTTTACATTGATGAGTTTGTTTTAGTAGCACATCCCAAATTGTTAGAATCAGAAGGTCAGTGAGGTAAAATTAAAACAAGTACTTTAGAAGATTGTAAACACAGAATAAATTTCAGTGTCATGTAAATAGGGTGTGATTTCCATAATAAAGCCATTATTGTTGTCACTGGTGTATAGCAATAAAGCCAAGGCTGCAATTACAAAGAAAACAGATAATACAGCACTAAACTTTCTTAAAAATAGCAGTTAAATTCATTGAAATCATATTTTCCACTAAAAAATAACAAGATGTGGTATATTCACAATAGAATCTACTAACTCCCATGAGTAGACTTTCTTAATGATACCAGTACTAACTGATGTATCAACTTGATGTTTTTCTTCCTTTCCACAAGTAATTTCTTTCACTAAAACCTTTTCAAACTACTGTGTTTTTCACATTAGTGATTCCTTGTTAATTGAAGCATGTAAATTAAGTACTTCAATTTGATTTTTTTTTCTTCCCTATAGTGGAACTTCATCTTGACACAAGCGTGACTGACTTAGCAATCTCTTTTCTTTTTTCTTAATTGTAGTAAAATAGACATAACATAAAATTTAACATTCTAACTCTTTTCAGTGTATGGTTCAATGTCATTAAGTACATTCACAATGTACAACCATCACCACTGTCAGTATTTCCAGAACTTTTTCCTCATCCCAAACGGAAACTCTGTATCCATTAAACAATAATTCACTATTGTCTCTTCCTCCCAACCCCTGGTACCTTCTATTCTGCTTTCTGTCTCTATGAATTTGACTATTCTAGGTACTATTCTAGTGGAATTATACAATGTTTGTGCTTTTTGTATCTGACTTATTTCACTTAACAATGTTTTCAGAGGCCGTCTATGTTGGCACTTATATCAGAATGTCATTCTTTTTTAAGCCTGAGTGTCTCGGTCCGTTCAGGCTGCTATAACACAATACCCTAGACTGGCTAGCTTTAAACTACAGGAATTTATTTCTCACAGTTTTGGAGGCTGAGAAGTCCAAGATCAAGGTGTCAGCAGATTCGGTGTCTGGGGAATGCCCCGCTTTCTGGTTCATAGATGATATACCATCTCACTGTGTCCTCAGATGGTGGAAGGGGCAAGGCAGCTCTCTGGGGCCTCTTGTATAAGGTCGCTAAGCCATTCATGAGAGCTTTGCTCTCATGACCTAATCACCTTGCCCAGCCTCCTAATACTGTTGCCTTGGTAATGAGGTTTCAACATATCAAGTTTAGGGGGACACAAACATTCATAACACAGCACTGAGTAATATCGCATTATATGTGAATACCGTATTTTATTTATCCATTCATCTGTTGATGAACATTTGGGTTGTTTACACCTTTTGGCTATTGTGAAAGATGCTGCCGTGAACATTGACGTACAAGTACCTGTTTGAGTCCCTGCTTTCAGTTGTTTGGGGTATATACTTAAGAATGGAACTGTTGCATCATATGGTAATTCTATGCTTAACTTTTCTAGGTACCACCAAACTGTTTTCCACAACAGGTGTGCCATTTTATGTCCCCACCAGTAATGCACAAGGGTTTCAATTTCTCCACATCCTCACCAACATCCACTATTTCCTGTTTTTTGATGATAGCCATTCTAATGGGTATGAAGTGGTACCTCGTTGTGGTTTTGATTTTCGTTTCCCTGATGACCAATGATGTTGAGCATCTTTTCATGTGCTTATTGGCCATTTGTATATCTTTTTAGAGAAATGGCTTTCCAAGTCCTTGGCCCATTTTTGAACCAGATTCTTTGGATTTTTTTGTTGTTGAGTTGTGAGAGTTCTTTATTTATTCTGGACAGCACAGTCTTTTATAGAGATACCCTTATTCCTTAGGCCCAATACTGTGAGAACATTGAATTGACTCTTTTTTATGTTAACTAATTCACCCTTAAACATAAGTCATTTCCAACATTACCAATTATCAATGCCTTCTTCAGTCAATATTGAATTATAGACAACACAGAAGTTAGTAGTAGTTCACCAAATGTGAAATGACAGCTTAGGAAATATAAAACTAAAGTGATTTTCATTAAATGAACATTGATTTTTGATTTGCCAAATGATATTAATAGTAGCTGTTCAACAACAACATGTGCCCCCAACCAACTCTCATCATCATCATACACCCCCTTCTCTTCTTACTCAGGACCCAAAGGAGGTGAAAGGTGCCTCCTCAGAGGTAGATTAGCCATAAAGCTGATGAAGCGTAAGTTTCAGGGCCTCTCATCTGCATGGCCCCCTTCCAAGATCCTGTACCTGATTATGGTTTTGCGATTTTTGTTTTGTAAAGAAGCCTCTCCAAGTTTTATAAGCTTCAGGCTCATGAAATCCGTATGTGCCTCTGGATATGTTTCTTCCATCTGAAATCATGTCTTAATCATTGCACTGTTGGAAAACCAGCCTGGGATCTATTGTTAAGTACACTTAGTTATTTATGACTAGCTTTTTTCCTTGCAGAGTTTCTGGTCTGGGGTGCCAAGCTACCACACTGTTCTGCATAATTCCAGAAAAACGTGGGCCATGGATGTTTCTAGTGAGCCCTGGTATGCTCCTTTGGCTTCTCCACTAAGCTCGGTCCACACAGCACTTGCTTTGCTCTAGGCACTTAGAGGAACATGCAGGCCAAGTTTTGAAAATTCAGTTCCTAGTTATTCATAGGAAATGTGCAGGTCCCTTTGTACTCTGCACAGAGCCATAAATAGAATTTTGTTCTTATGCAATAGAAGCAAAGAATGCAATTGCCAAAGTTAATACCTAATCTTTGAAAAATTTTGGAACATAGCTTAGGCAGTTTCCTAAATATTAGGGTTCTTGTCGGAAGTAAAAATTAGCCTCCTGGCCCTTTATCTAATTATATGATTTCATTAAACAAAAATGAAATTTTATAGCAACTAAATGAATTTTAATAAATTTTCTCCTGTCCTACTGCAGGGCATTAATGACAAAGAAATTATTCATCTATATAAACCTTTTCTTATATTATTTATAAGATTATTATTTCTTATATTATTATTATTTTCTCCATGTGGTTATAATAAGAACTCAGACAATTTGTATATATTGCGATGAAGAGTATATTCTGCGATGAGCAGAATATCAACAGAGTCCCCTTCTAAAGCCGTCTTTCTTCTCAAAAAAATGTTCAGGTTTCCACTTTCCCTTCCCCTCTGTCCTTCTCCCTCTTTCCTTACTCTTTTTTTTTTCTTTTCCTTTCCCTTCCCAAAAAACTCCATCCTAAAGCCATTAGTTGATGCAGAGCAACGTAGGCTACCACAGGAAGGTGCCCAAGCATGGGGTGTCTGAACCCAGGCACTGCGGGGAACGGGCTGCAGCCCAGCATGAGGTGTCGGAGCTGAGTGAGTTTGGGAGGCCGTTTGGGTGAGGGAAGGGATGACAGCAATGGGATGTGATTACCTAGGTAAGTACATTAGGAATAATGAGAAATAAATTTCTCACCAACAGAGAAGGGTTACACATATGGAAAGGGAGAAAACTAGAATTGACCCTGTGGTGTTGGGGTAGAATTAGAAGTATCAGTATGAACAAATGATTTTCATTATATAGAGAAAGATATACAGAAAAATAGACGTGTGTTTGTGTGCATGTGGGTGTGCATATGTGTGTGCACAAATACTTATCTCCTCTAGCTCTACCTATTGGGAGAGCTTAGGAGCAGCAACAGCAATGTCCATACCTAGCCCCAGATCTGCTTCCTAAATACCACTCTGCTCTAAAACAAACCAGGACTGGGGCAGGGAAAATTTGAAACATCTTAAGCCGAAAACAAGCAAGTGCTAACAGAATAACGAGGACATAACAAAAGGCACAGAAACCTTCCTGAAGGGGCTCCCACTAAGGACAATTTGGGCATCAAAATAATGATAGGAATGGATAATAACCGACTAAAGTAGGAATCTATAAGTCCATATTATAAAAGAAAACAAATGGATAAATCAAATATTCGATAATGAAAAAAACATATTTACATAGTTTCAAAGTAATGCCACACAAGACACTTAATAATTACAAAAGGAAAAAGACTAATAACTTTACAAGGAGGATCTGTGCAGCTACTATCTTAATCAAGTGACCAAACTGAGCATCTTCACTAATGGGACAATTGAATTCTATCCTGATGTCTTTCAACAGCTTGAAAATGTGTTTATTTGTGGCTGTGACGATCCAATTCACTTTCCAAATCTTACATAACTTGTCGTTTAAATATTAAAATCCTTTCGATAAGGTTATTATTCTGAAACCGAAATAGCAAAGAAAATTCAAAATAGACAAGCGAAAAGGGTAATGAAGTCCCTTGACCCTGAAGAAATCTGTTGAAACAAATCACATGAGAACATTATGGGTAGAATAAGCTTGGTTGATCAAAGTCAGTCACTCACTTCCTCTTTGCTCTTTAACCTTAGCAATAAATCGTGGTGTCGTCTTGGTCAGAAAAGGGAGGTGAGTGCATGTTTTTCCATCACACACAAATTTTATATAATTTCTATTTTTAAGTGCCTGGTCAAAATACGCTAATTTCTGGAGCACACTGCTGCCTACCATTTTCTCAAGATTTATGCAACTCCATAGTTGTTTGTAGTACTTTCTGAACAGTCCAGCAGGTGGCAGTCTAGGAGAGGAACAGTTCTCATCCGTCCCCATCCCAGGGCTACCAGCAGCTCCATTTGCAAAACAGAAAGAATATGGACTCAGCAATGTGCCTTCTCTTCTCTGGCATAAGAATGTAATTTCCAAGGTTGTTCTCTCAAAATGGGTACTTAGGCATATAGAGTATCACAGAAAGGAGCCAAAAATAATCTGTGACTATGCAGTATTCTGAAGCTCAAAATTTCTTTTTTTTTTTTTTAATTTCTAGAAATTCCACTGATTTTATATCTCTTTGCCCTGATTTCCATGACATGGCTTTGGGGAGGACTGCACATGGCATACAGACACTTCTGGATGTTGGTTCTCTTTGTCATTTTCAACAGTCTGCAGGTAAGCCTTACAGTTTGGTTATGACAATACACATTTATCCAAATGAGTACAAAGCATGGAGTTTCAGTATTAAAGATTCAAGTGTCCACACACAGTGCATTCGTGCACAAAATAATATCACATCATGCAGAGTTGTAAAATAAAATGATGGGGGCTAAATCTTTAACATTTGAAATATGGCCGAGATTCTAACTTGCTCATTATACAGATAGGGAAGACAAAATATTTACTCACCTTCATTTTGACAACATCCAAGTAACTGCAAAACCATAATTTTTTTCAGCAGGATTGATATTTACAGAATTTGCAGAAAGCAGACATGTGGAATCTATGCACATATTTGGGCCATGGCTGCATGTAGAAATGGAATCAATTGAGGAGTGAAATAGATACCCATGTTCAAGCAATCCCCTCTTAAGCCTGATGCTTAGTGAAACGAGAGTGTTTGGTTCACTGAAAATGACTGACATCTCCCAAGTCCAGCAGTGCCCAGCTTAAATTAGTTTTGTGAGCATGGTTAGAGAGCATAACTAGGAATTACATAACTGTAGCAAAAATTAAAGCTGACTTTTTTAGTCCTTTTGTTAAATGGAAAAACTTTGCACCCTGAAATTAACAAATGGAACAAATGAACACATTTTCCTTATTTTCCTAAGTGAAAAGGTCTGCCCTTGACTAAAATAATTTCTTAAATTTACCTAAAGTATCTATAAATAGTCCTTATTTTGGTTATCATCTTACAAGGAGCATGTGTATAAAACACACATATGTATGTGTGTATGTATGTGTATATATTAAGACATACATATATTTAGGATTGCAGCATACAACTGAAGTAGAACTGCAGTCCTCAACCCCTGAGCCACAGACGGATACCAGTCTGTGACCTGTTAGGAACCGGACCACACAGCAGGAAGTGAGCGAAGCTTCATGTGTATTTACAGCCACTCCCCATCGCTCAAATCACTGCGGAATCATCTCAAAGCTATCCCTCCCTGCCCCGCCATCCATGGTGGAAAAATTGTCTTCCATGAAACTGGTCCCTGGTGCCAAAAGAGTTGGATACCGCTGCTTTAGAAGACACTCTTTAGTTAGATCGTAGCTTACATGATGATGCCTAATCAAAGCATATTATCGATTTAGGAAGGAAAAAATACAAAATAATTAAAAGTTTGGAATCAAATGAATACAAGTTGATATATAGACATCTCTCTATGGATATGGTTATAATCAAGCACCTACTGACAGTGCGCTAGCACTGCTGATACCAGGATGAAGAAGACAGTCCTGCCCCCACAGGATCTGATGATTTAAGGAGTAAACAATTAGCTCTAAGAATATACTATGGCAGGTGCCATGTAAACAGCATTATGAGAGTGAGTAAGGGCCTGTTTACTCCTGCATTTGAGCTGAGCCCAGCATTTGAGCTGAGCCCAAAGGTGAGCCATCAGGTCACAGGCCCCATCTTGGTCACCTTTGGATCCCTACAGCCTTTGTGGAACTAAGATCAAGGTCCAGCCCAACAGCCTACAAGTGTATTTTATTTGGCAGACACACAATGGTACACAAAAGTGTGTTTTAGATTTCCAAATATTTGCTGCAGACTTTTAAAATTGAAAAAGTTCACATTAAAAACCTGAATTTCTGACTCTTCTGAAGGCAATACTTGCATGGCAGCAATTTTCAACTCCTGAGCAGACCTGATATGCTTAGTTCATTCATTTTACCTGCCCCTGAGTTTGTGACACCTTCCATGTTTATTAAATAAATGATGATTGTATGGTTACAGATGGGTATTTCATGCAGAGATGGGTATTTCTGTTAGCCAAGGCTGCAAAAACGGAAAGTGATTGACCTTGCCTAGGTTAAGCAAAGGGTTGGGAGGGAAGGAGAAAGGTTTTGCAATTAGAAAAGAAGTGGTGGGAGAGGAGACGGAGAGGGTAGTTTGCCTTAAATGCCAACTTTCCATGCTCAGAATGCTAAACTTCAGCCTTCAAGCAATGGAAAGCCATCAGAGTTGTCTTTCTTGTTTGTTTTGTTCTGATTTGTTTTATAAAATTTTGTCAATTTTTAATTTTTTTTATCTTGAGTGAGAATAGCATGCTTGTATCTACTCTCTAGAAGGATAACCAGAAATGTTTAGGAGGGGATACTGAAAAAAAAAAAAAAGAGCAGCTCCGGGGTAGTCTATTGTCATATTCCGGACTCCAGATATTCTGGCAGTGTGCCTGGAAATAGAGAGTAGGTGACAGGTTTGATAGTTGTTATAGAGATAAATATTTGTTTTATTTGTTTTAATTTACACATATTTGTGGGATACACAGTGATGTTTTGTTACATATATTGTGTAGTGATCTGATCAAGGTAATTAGCATATCATCATCTCAAACATTTATCATTTCTTTGTGTTGAGAACATTCAATATTTTCCTCCTTTCTATTTGAAACTTTGCAATATATTATTGTTAGCTATAGTCATCCTATAGCACACTGGAACTTATTCTTTCTAGCTATATTTTTGTATCCTTTAATAAATCTTTCCCTATCCCCCCTTTCTCCTAGCCTTCCCAGCCTCTAGTATCTTCTGTTCTACTTCTTACTTGTGGGAGATGAAGTTTTTTGAGCACATACAGTGTTTAACTTTCTGTTCCTGGCTTATATCACTTAACATACTGTCCTCCAGTTCCATCCATGTTGCCATGAATGACAGGATTTTATTCTTTTTTATGGCTGCATGGTATTCCATTGTGTATATACACCACATTTCCTTTACCCATTCATCTGTTGTTGGAAACCTGTGTTGATTCCATGTGTTGGCTATTGTCAATAGTGCTGCAATAAACGGGGGTGCAGACGTCTCCTCAATAGACTGATTGTCTTTCCTACGGATAAATGCCCAGTAGTGGCATCGCTAGATCACATGGTAAAGTTCTATTTGTAGTTTTTTGAGGAACCGCCATACTGTTCTCAACAGTGGCTTTACCAGTTGACATTCCTGCCAACAGTGTATGAGTTCTCTTTTCTGTGCATCCTTGCCAGCATTTGTTTTGTCTTTTTGATAAAAGACATCCTGACTGGGGTGAGATGATAACTCATTGTGGGTTTGATTTGCATTTCCTTGATGATTAGTGATATGGAGCATTTTTAAAATATTTTTTGGCCATGGGTATATCTTCTTTTGAGAAATGTCCAGATCATTTGTCTATTTTTTGCTGTTGAGATATTTGAGTTTCTTGTATATTGTGGATTTTAATCCCCTATTGGATGAATAGTTTGCAAATATTTTCTCCCATTCTGTAGGTTGTCCTTTTCTCTCTGTTGATTGTTTCCCTTGCTGTGCAGAAGCTTTTTAGTTTGACATAATCCCACTTGTTTATTTTTGCTTTTGTTGCCTATGTTTTTGAGGTCTTATTCATAAAATCTTTTCTTAGGCCAATGTCTGGAAGCATTTCAACTATGTTTTCTTATAGTAGTTTTACAGTTTGGGGTCTTACATTTAGGTCTTTGATCCATTTTGAGTTGATTTATGTATAGGTAAGAGGTGGAGGTCTGGTTTCATTCCTCTGCATATGGATATTCAGATTTCCCAGCACCATTTATTGAAGAGATTACCCTTTCCCCAATGAGCATTCTTGGTGCCTTTGTCAAAAATCATTTGGCTGCAGATATGTGGATTAATTTCTAGGTTCTCTGTTCTGTTCCACTGATCTGTGTTTCTGTTTTTATGCCAGTACCATGCTGTTTTGGTGGTACTATATTACTATAGCTTTGCAGTATATTTCGAAGTCAGGTAGTGTGTGCTTTCAGCTTTGTTCTTTTCTTTCTTTTTTTTTTTTTTTCCTTGAGACAGAGTCTCCTATGTTGCCCAGGCTGTCCTCAAACTCCTAGGCTCAAGTGATTCTCCCACCTCAGCCTCCCAAGTAGCTGGGACTATAGGCATATGCCTGGCTTCCAGCTTTGTTCTTTTTGCTCAGGATTGCTTTAGCTATTCAAAGTCTTTTATGATTCCATACAAATTTTAGGATTTTTTTTTTCCATTTCTGTAAAAAACATCATTGATATTTTGATAGAAATTGCTTTGAACCTGTAGGTTGCTTTGGGTAGTATTGTCATTTTAATAATATTAATTCTTTCTATCCATGAACATGAGATTAATATTAATGAAATTTGGTTAGCCAATTAAATGTAGGAATGTAGAGTGCAAGAGAGGAAAATCACTTAGAAATTTCTGGCTTGAGTGAATGAATGGCTGGGCACTGATACCTTTAGCCAAAACAGAGATCACATAAACAGCAAGGTCTTAATGTACAATGAAGTTGGTGAGATTTGGGAGACATTGGTAAATACTATATAGCAATGTTTTAGTAACTGGGTATAGGGATAGGGCTAGTGAAAGAGATTATTAATGAGTGATCAGAGAGCTAGGAAGACAACCGGGGTAGTGTTTGCAGTTGCATGTAGAAAAGAAAGCTTCAAAAGGAAACAACTCCTAACTCTGTCAAGTGTACCAGAATCGTTAAATAGGATGAGAACTGAGGAGCAATGAGGTCTAATGCACCAGTTCCCAAACTGTAGGGTACATCAGAATTCCATGGGGGGCTTGTTAAAACAGAGATTGTTAGGCCCCACACTCAGAGTTTCTGATACAGCAAATCTGGGTAGAATCTGGTAGTTTCCATTTCTAACAAGTTTCCAAGTAATGCAGATTTAGCTGGTCTAGGGACCACAGTTTGAGAAAAAAGAAGTGAAATGGAGAATGCAAAGAGAAAGAAAGAAGTAGCTTAGGAAGGGAGGTTGGTTGATTCAAAGGACATTTTTTTGCTTTTGTTTTCTTTACTTGTGACAAGAACCAACAAAGGAGAAACTGACAACTGGAAGAAAGATTCATTGTCGTGGCAAGATCATGGACAAGGCAGGAAGAAGAGAAGAGATAAGGGCTTCTCTGAGGGAAGAGTAGAGATGTTTCTTTTTCTGAGGCTGAAGAAAGAAGGAATGATTGGT